AGCCACCCACACATACACACACACGCACACACGCACATGTGCTTGAATATAATGCAGTTATCCAAGCGTAGCCTTACCGCATCGCCGCAACGGGACGCGCTCGCTCGCACGTATAGATGTATGTATGCTGCGCTACACATGTGCGTATATACCAATATATATGCATAGCCGCCCTTGTCACGCAGCGACGTCGTCCGTCCGCGCCTGACATTCGCCACCGTTGTCCCGTGAAGGGTTGCAAGAGAGAGCGAGCGAGCGCCAGCGAATGGCTGGCTGGCTGCTGATGTTACTGCACGTTGCACATGTAAATTTGACACGAGCCTTGTCTACGATATGTACGATATACACAGCGTGCATGTATACTACTATATGCTTATATATATACGCGGGAGCGCAGCACACTCGTACACAGCATGCACATCCACGTAGACGTCGAGTGTTATAATATTCTTGATGCTTTTTTGTTTGTATATCGCAGCGCCAGCAGTATAGCAGTAGCAGCTTTTGTTATAGGACGCCAGCTCGTTGGATATGCTTTTTTTGCGCCCGCCCGCGCGCGCTTGCGTGGCTGCTTTTTTTATCAAACGAGGAAAACAGTATACACGTCGTGTTAGACAAATTTTTATTTTTCAAAGTGATACGCGAGCGCCGGCGCGCACGGCGCACGAGATGAGAAAAGCGAGCAACAGCGAAATGAAGTCAGCGAGCGCCATGCCGATATACATATACACAGAGCTGTATAGCTATATAGTATCTGCGTTGTTGTGTAGGAAATTTTGAGCGAGCGAGATGAGAGGTAAAAAAAAAGTGAGTAAAGTCAAGAATACGTTAAGCAAAAAATGAACTCGGTTAAATAAAATCTATATGCAAAAAACTTGTTCGTACGGGAGAGTTTTACATCTTTACTCGAGTACTTTATCTGATGCATCATCCAACTATACACACATATACACCCACACAGATACGCACGTTCACAATATAACATGGTACACGTGCACTTGCAAAGCTTTGTAGACGGTAAATATTTTTTTTCTGTACCTGCACACTGCCATCGAGTAGCAATGCAGCAATAACTTTTTCATCGCTGCCGAGCAACAGTTCTTGGTTTTATTTTTCAATAAAAAAATTTCGCTCTCTCTCCTCGCAGCTGAAGAATATACGCAATATATACACGTATGTTACTTGTGCAAACACGAACTTACCCTCCACGCAAACATATATACCGCAAACAAACATACATTCGATATCTGCCGTTCGTGCGTACAAATGAATCGAGTGTAAAGCTGCGTATTTTTTTTTACCGATTTTTAGTCATGTGTGCAAGAGGGAGAGAGAGAGAGAGAAATAGATAGAAAGAGAAATTACATGGCCACGGCGTCACAGTCGGGGCCGAGAATTGGCACGACTAATATCTCATGTGAGCTAATCCATTTGGCAGAGCCAGAGAGAGCACACATAGCATATAGCGCAGAGCGAGCATGACGCCGAGAGATGCAGTCGAGCGTTGCTCTTGCCTACCTCTCTTTTCTCCTTCTCTATCTCTCTTTCTCTATCTCGCTCTTTGCATGGCCCAATTAGGTTATTTTTAATTAATTTTTTTGTTTTATCGCACCTCGGCGCGTCGCAACTCACGCTGCACGCACACGTACACACGAGCGTACATCCATGCGCGCATACATACATAAATATATGCATCGAAAGAGGAGATATATTATTTACCCAGCTGTATGCAGGCATTGTACTGTCAAGCGGCGAGTAAAATAATAGCTTCAAAAGATTCTCTTTTGCGTGGCGAGCTTTTGTTCGAGGTTGTGAGAAGCTCGAAGAATTGCGTGGGTGCAAAATATATATATAAGTCGAGACTGAGCGCGCGCGCACACGAAATGATTTACCGAATGCGTATGTGCGACTATAACGAATATATCGCGTGGATCTAATAAGGTGGTAGTTTGCTTGCTCCAAATGCGAGTTTGATGCATAGTGAAAATACTTTGGTCGATCCGTTGCTTTCCGTGAAAATCCTTAAATTTATCGATAAAATTACTGTTCGAGATATGCTACAAATCTTTTTATTATATATTCGTTAATCGAACGCTTTTGAACGCATTGGAAGCGTTACGCAGTTTCCATTATTTATTTAGCAATAATCGTATTCGTTAATAATTCACATTGCGTAATATTCTGCATACACCACTGCAGAACTATATCAAAATCATCAAATAATAGCATGAGCGCGCTAAAATATAATCATTGAAATAGATAATTTAGCAATGAAAATCAACGAGCAGGAGCGGCTCATTCACGCGCACCGCTTTTCTATATAATCAAATTCTTTCAGCTTTAAATCCAAGGTAAAAATGCTAAATATTACTAAAATGGCCTACTTATTTGAAAATGAACGTTTAAAATGTCTTAAAACATTGTCATTAATTGACTTGTTTTTGCAATTTTTCTGTTACAATTATATTATAATTAGTGCATTATTAACGACCTGGAAATAGCAATTTAATTTTTCCAAAAAATTTAGATCATTTTTCAACCTCATTAAATGCGATGATACAACTTTAAGCCTCCACCGCTAGATGGCGAGTACTGTTATTTGTAAACCTGCAAGTGACTAAGTAGAAACAATTGTATAAGTCATATGAACATTTTTGTGGTGTACGGTTTCCTTGAAAAGATTTTTACAAATCGGAATTTCGCTTCTCGCGTGCTGGAAATGCTGATTACGCTAAACAGTTGTTTCATAAACAAGTTACTATCGATTTTGCACTGTACGTATATCTTCGGCATACACTGAGTAAACTGTTGTTGGTTATTGTTGTTGTTGCGTTCGTTGATAATGGTGCATGCCCGAACCCTATACACACATACAGAAAATATGTATGTATAGATGTAGTCATTAAAGAGTGAAGTTGGTAAACTTTGAATATGCATGGGTAGAAATCAAGTCGATGGCGCCGCGTTATACGACGGTGTATTCACCGAACGAACGAGCGGCTAAGTTAAATTGAAAACCTTCGCGATATTTTTTTTAATGCCAAATCCGGACACACGGCAGCACGCGCGCACCATCACCCGAGAGAAAATTAACATAAAATTAATTTCCTCCCTATGGAGGTATTATACACGCAGCTTCGGGGCGTCTGGCCTGACTCTCTCGCTCTCTCTCTCTCTCTCTCTCTCTCTCTCTTTCTCTTTTCTGCTTTATGTGTACATGGGAACTCGGCCTCGAGGAAGAGGAGGAGCAAAAGCGCAGACGAGGATTTAATCCTCTTGGGCGCGTACGCATGAAATTAGATATAAGATCAAAATACGCGATGGACGCCGTAGCTTTTTTACGCGCTCGCATTCGTGCAAAAGTATAGGAATTGATTAAAATTTTCGCTCTTGGAGTTTTTGAAGTACGCCTTGCAAACATAGTGAAAAACTCGGAAATGAGGCCAGCCGCAATTCGTATGTATGCATGTAGCAAGCGCAGCTTATTACATTCGAATCGAGTATGAACTTTATAGTACAATTTCTTTAGATAGAGTCGAAAAATCTCTTCATTCCTGACTTAGCAAAATAAAATATTTCAGGAGGCTTTTAAATGCGATAAAAGTGTGTTGAACAAACTCCGAATATTTATCATTAATGCACATGCGAGGAAATTAAACTTGTCAAACGTAGCGCGAAAACGCCTCGTTGGCTTTAAAGTATTATTTATTTACTAAAATAAATAAAAGAATTTACGCTAGCTCGAGCTAAAAACTTACCAACAGTTGAAAAAGTCCCAAGGTATATATACGAAGCAGTATTGATACTAGCTACGAAACTTTTATTTTTACTCCCATCGCAATTTCGAGACAAATAAGTAAACGCGAGAGCGAGCTAGAAGAGGAGTCAGAACGTGTAACGTCAATTTCATTAAAAGTTTCAAGTCGTGGAAAAGAGACTTTATTTTCATGTATATACCGGATTGCAGTATTTTCTTCATTATTTGCGACTTATGAATGAACAATATTTATTAGCCATTAGGATGGTATTAGCAGTTACATATCTGCCGAAAAAAAAAGAAAGTTTCATTCATTCTACTCTCTCTCAACGCAATATGAGTTATTAATCTTCGAGAGATGAAGGACGCGCCCATTCGGGCAGTTTTTATTCTTCATCAGCTCGTTCTTGATCCTTGAAATATTCATCGATAATAAAGGTCGAACAAAGTTGCAATAAAATACTTGCCATGTTTGTTGTTTCAAAAGCCCGGGCAAAGTAAACATGAAATAAACAACTTCCTTAATCGTTTAAATAGCATATTAAAATATACGTCGGAATATCGATTTATTGACATTGATTTCACCAGTTCCGCCGCTATACATTAATAAACGCGAATGCATAAAATAAAGGGCATAATGTTGCGCGTATACTCGGCGTATGTGTACGTATGTATACAAGCTTAACTCGGGGGCGCTGCATTACTCCCTGGTGAGCCGTTGGCAAAGAGCAAAATGAGACAGCTCTAACCCGTCGCGAGCGAGCGAACGGGCGGGCAGGCAGGTCTCGCGAGTACAAGTTTGTCTTTATCTATCGCAAACGCAAAAGTTCCGGCTTTGCAAAGTTAATACATCTAAATGTATGTTTTAAAATTAAATCGAATCAAGTACGTACATGAACTCGCACTTTCGATCGATATGGCTTTTTAGTTAACACGGAACAAAGACTTTTGCTGCAAGTTGCTGAGGCGGCTGCTACTGCTACTTGCGGCTGATTGATGAAAAATTCGTATCACGCGCCAGCCATTGTTTTACACTGGGCTAGCAGCAGCCAATAGAATTATTATTTTTCACGCTTCGTAGGAAGAAAGAGAGGGAGAGAACGAACCAATTCGAGCTGCAGTAGCAGCATCAGCTTTATCAACTATTCGCCTCACGAGAAAATGAAAAAGATAATAATATAATACAATATGTTGTGCATGTGCTACTGGAAATAGTAATTGAATTCTTTTTTTCTCCTTGCAGAGTGACAGCGGGCTAGCGGACCCAGATCTGAATAGAACTGGCAGCATGACAGCCATTAATTCGGTAAGTCTTGCATAATTTTGAACTTGAAAAATTATTTTTCTTATAAACTTATCTGAACTGTACCTTGGACTTTTCGATTCAAGTTTTAAAAGTTCGATCGATCTCTATCAGCCTCTTTGCACTTTAGGTACAAATATATTTTGCGGTATTATATGGTATGAGTATTTTTTGATCAAATAGCTAGTCCACGCGCGCGTCTACGTACGCCACGAAGCTTTATTTTTCCAAGGGTTGAACGATGTGAAAGACGTCTATATATACACGCGCGCTCGTGTGCAGTTTGCTCAACTGTTATCTTTTGAATGAAAATAAAAAAAAAGGACAGAAAAAAATCGAAAAATATTGTACATCGGAAAGAGAATTATTATATCCGATTCGTATCTTGATATGACGTGAAATATTGAAATTTTTTCGAGATGATATCGACGGGCTAGGACTCGAAGTGCTCCGTTTCTATTTTTACGATACAAGAAATCCCTTATGTCGTTTTCAATTTGCGATTTTGAGCCACGTTTGGTCGAGTCTTGTGCGTAAAATTGAGTTGGACCTAAATTTTACTTATGTATGGAGATAATTAACCTAAGAATTCAAAAATATCCGGTATATAGAAGGCACGCAACTTCCTACATTACAGCCTGACCGGTACACTGCGTCGTCATTTCTTTACTATCTTATTACCACTATTTAAATTTGCTCGTGGAAAATCTGAACGAAAAATCTGTAGCCTAGGGTCGAAGGCATGGGAAAACAGCAGCGGTGGCAACCAGCAAAGTAAATAACAGAAGCTGCCGTAGTGTAAACTTTAATTGTGCTTGTTTCGAGCCAGTGTGTACGTATGCGGCGTGTGTATGCTCGTGCACACAATATACATCTACGGATGCTCAGACAATTTAGAGTGAACATATTTCTCATTGAAATATTGATTAACGATACACGTATACGTTCACCCAGTTACGCAGTGTGTATAATTATCCTACCACATTGTTCGACTTAATCCTTATCTTTATTCATGATGTATTTTGATTTAAATTTTTCTGAAAAAAGTCGAACCTTATAAATATAAACGTAACGCAAATGCATTTTGCACTGTGCAATTGAAACGCGAAAAAACTCGAAAAGTTTTTCAATTTCGTCTCAATACTCGGCAGCGCTTTCTAATGCTCATGTGTGCGTATTTGCGCCTCTAACGGAAAACTATTCGAGCGGAAAATTTCCTCGCGGGGTTCACTATTGTATGAATGCTTTCACACGTTTACTTCATATATAATATAACTTGCTGCCTGTGCGCGCACACACGTATGCATATATAGCTATATACGAGAGCAAGACAGAAAAAAAGATGGAGAGAGAGAGAGAGAGAGAGAGAAAGAGGGAGAGGGAGAGGGTGATAAGCCGCTTTTTCTTCCAAGTGCGAGGCGAAAAATCTAAATAATGCGATTTTGCGAGAAACGCATACACACACGTATATGTATAAGGCAAAGTAGCCTTGCCGAGAATGGCTTTTAAAAAATTCGAGCCCGTTTGCCTGTGCGAAAGAGCAGAGCGCGTACATAGCTTACTCTCAGCTGTCTGTTTAAATTTCCGAGGCGAGCTTTCTTTACTCTTCTTTTTTTTTACTGCTGCTGCTGCTGCTGCTGCCGCTGTTGGTGCTGCTGCTTCTTTTTTTCGCCCTTGCTCTCCGACTGTATTTGTATTTTTTATTAAAGAGGGATAGCGTAGAGTAGCACCACACGTGTGCAGGAGAGACGGAGAAAGAGGAGAGACTGTCCTATACGCACAAAATGGAGGATGCAAACGGTTGCATTTTTCGCTCGAGTCAACGTACTTTGAACGCGGGTAATTTCGATGATTCAATTCTGAGTCAAATGGCTTTATTCGTGGATTTTTAAATCTTTCATGCTTTCGAAAAATTTCATTGCAATGTTCTAATTAAAAATTTGAATAATTAAAATGATTTTCTAATAAGGTCAGAGCCAGTCAATGAAACGCACTCGCCGCTGACTGAGCGCGTGCTCATGCGCGCATGAATATCGATCGATTTTCCAAGCGCCCGTTCTTACATCTCGGATACGAACGCACACAGCGGCGTATTAATCGAATGCAGAATTTCCTGAATAAATGAGTGACCTGAAAAGGATCAATTGACGATTAAGGCGTACAGCGTATGCCGCGACAACAATAGTGTCCAGATTAATGTCACCCGCGGACAATAATAAGGCTATATACATGGCACAGAAAAATTAGCATTATATCGTGTGGTACGCTGCTGCCGCGGCCGTTACACATATAGACGTTCGCTCGCCGCGAAATGCATAATTTAATGAAGCCAATTCCCTCAGCTCGTGCCGCGATCATAATAAATTCGATGAAAAAAATTCGAACGCGTGGAAAGTATAAAGTAGCTCCTCCAGCACCGGTTCACTGTGGATAAGGTGTGCACATAGAGATCGTCTCGTACGTGCCGACTGCGGAAAAAGGCGTCGAATTTTCGCCCCGAATCGCGCGCGCCACAGGTCTACTCGTGATTCCCCTGAGATGTATATTGCGTGCGAGATTCTTTGAAAATCTTCGCATTCGTATGTAATCGTTACACGAAATATTTTCATTTACAGATTATAAATAAAATATACACTTCAGACTTTCTCATCATTTTTTCCTCTTTCCCTCCCTTTCTCTCTCTTTCTCTCTCTTCTGTACTTGTAACTTGGCCTGCTGATTGATTGCTGTCGATGTTTTCTCTTTCTCTCGCTGCCGCGCTGCTGATGTTTTTCTGCAGACTTCGCGAGTATGGAAAAAGTTTTTGCAGTCTCGCGCGCTTTTGCCCCCGATGAAAAATTGCTCAAGACAAGTCGAGCGTGAAGTGAAAAGCGTGCGAGTGAGCTGCGTTGAAAACTTTTCGATGTGTGGCTGCGCGCCCGCGCGTTCTCTGATGCATGCTTGACACTGACTGCAACCGAACTGGAGCGTTATAGGCGATGAATCGCCCGCAGTATTTTTCATTTTGTATAAAGCAATTTTTTTCCCGACGCAAGCCGAGCCGAGCCATAGTACATTTCGATGATTTCACTGTGGCACGATTGAAAAAAAAATGCAAATCATTCGGAATTTAATTGAAAAAAATTATCCTCGGCAAAGTTTTTTTCGTTCGTAGTCTAAAAACGCAGCTTGCAGGTAAAAAGAAAATAAGTACGACATCCAGCCGGAGATAAAAGTATGGTCACACTGCATATACAGTTGAGTTACGTATATATGAACCAATACTGATGATGTTGCTCTTCGAGGTTATTGATCTTTTGGCGCGCGTAGATTAAAAAATAAATAAATAGAGAAAATGACTTGACATACCTGTTGAGCTTATTAGCTGAGAACGCACCATAGGAGAAAATGAGTCAGTACATTTTTATGTTTCTCGTGTGATTTATTTATTAATTTTTTTTTTTACACGTTCGTATCAATTGTATAAGTTACAGATCCACTGCCATCTCTTCCAATCAGTTTCTTTCTCCAGAAATATAGATTACCGATCAATTACACGCCTTCGTGACACGTGTAACATTTTTCTTGCCTCAGGTTTGATCGCTAATTGTGCACACACACTAAAACTCAAAAACTCAAAAAGTACGTAAATAGTAGTGGAAGTAGTAATGTAGCAGTAGCAGCAGTAGCTACGGTCGCAGTCGCAGTAGTAAATAGTTGCAGTAGTCTAACACGCGGACTTACCGAGAGGTAGTAAGAGGCTGGCGTTTAAATAAAGCGCGCGTATGTAGGTCAGCCGCGTGCGCTTATACGTTCAGAGCTTACGCAACGCGCGCACGGAGAGAGAGAAAGAGAGCTTTTGTCGGTCGTTGAATGGTCTAAAATGATTTTCTTCTTCTTCGTCTGCTCCTTCTCTGGCCGTGATGCCGCTGTTTGTGTTTTGTTGCACTTCTGCTGCGCCTCTATATATTATCTCGAGATAGGAGATGTACGTAATCGATTGTAAAGAAGACTGTGCCCGAGCTTTTCTTTTTTAATTATGAAAAGCTCGCCGCGCGATAATGAGATTTTTAAACTTTCTTCGCGTAATGCTATACTTAAAGATTCCTTATACTCTATGGTGTAACGCAAGGCTTGTACAGAAACACTTTTTTTACGATCCGCAAAAGTCTAATACTGGGTTAAAGCTCATAAAAGCTCGCGCGCACGTTCACCGGTGAGAAACCGAATATAATGGACTTGTAAATTATACGGGTCAGTCAGAGAATGCTGAGAAAAAGATCGTTTATACTTCTTTCACTCACACCTACTTTTCTTTTTACATTCTTCTCTCTTTTTTTTGTTGTATTCGTGCGAGCTAAGTGTGCTTACGTCGACTGCGCTTTAACTTTTTTCAATTTTGTTGTTATTCGTGTAGACGTTGTTGGTCACTTAAAAGAGAAATGAAAGTAAAAAAGAAGTTCAAAACGCACAAAATTGTCGAATAATCGATTTTTCCTCAGAAATAGTTCTATTTTCATCGGAATACAAAGTAACGAGATCGTCAGCTCAAGCACTCCTCCATTTGATTTATCGATGCTTGGATAGAAGCTGAAATAAGGGTTCAGTGTGGTAGGTAGCTTTTCCCAAAAGCCGGCTCGAAAGAGAAATCAAATCGGATTTAAGATTTCGGCTGTAACCACGTGAAAAGAGGGCCGGCTGAGAAAAGAAAAAAGTTTCTTTCGAATCATTTATTGGATTTTAGGAGGGATTTTTTTTTACTCTGACTATACTAAGCTTTGATGATTAGAAGCTCTCAAAGATTTATCGACTGTAAAACTAACGAGAGCGTGATCTAGCATTCGTTCATGTAAAATTAAAAATATTACACGACTGATTTCGCATATTTTTAAAAATTGTGAGCAGGAAAAAAACAAGACGCGCATAATGATCGTCGTGAAGAATGTATACGCATACCGTCTGTTAAAGATAAACTATTTTTCGAAACACATCATTTAAAATATTTTTAACGTCATTCTTCGTCG